CTTTGACGCGCTTTGGTGGCTTGTTCTCGGCTGGTATCTTTGGAGCAGCGACAAGACCAGAATGTACATCTTGCTTACTATCCTCTGAGTGCTGCGGGGGACTCCTTGTCACTGAATTTTTAGGAGGCTTGTCATGTCGCTCCACTTCCTTCGCTACGTCCCTCAAAAAACCCTTTTCTTCTTCTTCCCAGTCGTCCTCATCCGAAAGTGATCGTGGCGAACGAATCGAAGATCTGGACTTCGGGCTAGCAATAAGGCTCAAATCTTCTTGAAGTGGAGGAACGCTCCTTCTAGCCGCCATCTTACTTTGGCCTATTTCATCACGAGATCACATCGTCAACCACTATCTACAGTAGCAAGCTGATGTCTGTGCTGCATACAGTACCTTTGCTTTTCGTCTTGGTGGAGTGAGGAGTTATCGCGTGCATTTTCGAGCGTTCTGCAGTCTTGGATTTGGTATTTAACAGTGATGCCGTAACGCTGTCTTGAGAATTGAATTGGGAACCAATTGGACTTGCAGCTTTGTCTTCTGAAGTGATGCCCGGGTCAAAACCATCGGAATACATGTCGTCGTCGCTGTCTTCGCCACTGAGCGATAGGAAAGAGCCTACAGATCAACCATATAATAAAATTTGTCAGCTGAATGGAACGATGCTTGTCCAAAGGCAGAGAATAGACCTTTGCGGTTTCTGGCTGGTTCTGCAGGTTCACTGAAAACGCTGTTCCGTGTCTTACGATGCGTTATCGATTTTTTTGTTTTCCCCTGCTGTATCCGTTGTTGATGAGGACTTGTGGTTTTCGCCTTAAGTCTACGTTGTCGAGAGGATTCATTGGTATCCGTAGCCTCCAGTGCCAAATCATCCGTGCTGTCGCTCTCTTCCTTAACACGCGTCGAAGTATTAACTGTAGCAGGTTTACTTGGTGATCTACCGGTTTTCTTCGGCATTTTCCGACGGTCTTCATCAACTCCACTATCTTCATCGTCAACAATAATCTCATCCATCAGTACCGTAACATGCCTCGGCATACTTGATGCTGCATTAATGTCTTCAGGAGAGCTCGAGCGATTCTTTTTCTTAGACGTCATCTCCTTGCGTGCCATGGGAGACACAGCCGATCGTCCTTTACTTCGCAGTCCTCGCTTCTTCGTACGCGCAGCGTTTCGCTCACCCTCACTCTCCTGATCATCACTGCTATCCATATCTTCAAGTCCAACCTGAGCCAGCGGTTCCTGCTCAATTTTTACCACAATTGGTTGTGTTTTTGCAACAATTGAACGCTTCTTCTTTTTCTGCGGACTCGGGTCTTGCTCTTCTGGTGCTGATGACGTTTTTGGTCTTTGGACTTTCAGCTTTGGCGCTGGCACAGCTTCATCACTCGAGGATTCGTCATCCTCATCCCCTATCGTCACGTACTTATGCGTCATCATGTGGCGCTCTTTGTTATTCGCAAAATTCCGATACCAAAGTCTGGTGCCCATATTTTTCCGCATCTTGTCGACCGACTCGGTCGTGGAATTCTCATACTGTAACGGTAGCGTGCCTCTGACAAAAGTTGGCATTTTCGTCGTCGCATCTGACTGAAGAGCACACCCGAAGGCCAATTCAAACTGCGCTCCGTTCGTCTGCTTCCGATTCTTGTCGAAGTTACTATCAAATAGCTTCACTTGTCGCTTTTTCTGCCAGCAACTACATCACCACAACTGTAAGCAATGCACTGGCATAAAATAAAATGCACGCGAGCACGCACCGGTCTCGATTGGCAAA